GTACTAACTTTTTAGAGGCACAACACAATATCTTATTATTCTTTTCTTCTCATATCGCTTTCATGTTGTTTTCAACCAAGATTGTGAGATATATGTAGGCCAAATATAGGGTTACACAAAATCTTCAAATAGAAGAGAAAACTCGCAATGTAATTACTCTGAATATTACAAGGGTTGTTGCTCCAATAGTTCACTCTGAATATTACTGTTAACATCACAATAGAATTCCTTCGCTGACTTGTCAAAGGGTTAAAAACATTGACATTACTTTTTTAAAATCTGATGTAAATAATTTCCTAGGGTGAATCTAGAAGTAGCCCTACCATACAGAAATAATGAGAGTTGTCACCTTTTTGCTAAGGATGCAAATATGGGTGAAGCTAGAAGTAGCCCTACCATAAAGGCAGATGATATGACGCCATCCTTGAAATTATTCAAGTTAAACTCGCCCCTGTTTACGTAAAGAAGATGAAAAGGTAAGTGGCATGAGATTGAATTATTAAAAGGGGATAGGGTAGAGCTCATAACTGATGGACCAGGACGGCAGGAGGGACCGGACGGTCGACTGGATCCAGGATTACCGGTTCCGGTCTCGGGTCCAACAAAAAAAAAACAGGAGGCCAGGACCACATAAGTAGTGCTGATGAGTTGCAATATTCTTGTAGCATATATACTTACTGAATTCCAGTGCCAGATGAGCATATACCAGCTTCGCTACAACTTCCAGGGCTCCCATTGACACCATTGCTAGCTATAACTCCCCGGTCCACATAATTTAGCAAGTTGATGATGCAGAAAATTGCAAGCAACCTAAATCATTAGTATTAGAACCAAGAAAATCAATATACATGCAAAGATGATAGTAAGGCGACCAAGCTTCCCATTTCAATTATATCGCATAGATAGTCTTCTCTCAACCTTATCAGCACGATGCAACTCTCAAGTCAGCACTTTACTGATTCAAACTACCTAACCCTAACCACTAATATACAACGCTGAACCCAATGGAAAGGAGGGTAATATCGCACTACCCTGCGATAAATAAACCTAAAAACTTCAATGATTTTGAAAGAAGATCAATTTGAAGAATAAAGAAACAAAAATCAGAACCAAACAAGAAGTTATGACGAGCATCCAAAATTATAGAGAAGGATATTTGTGTCAAGATCACTTATTTGGTGATCCAGAAAATACAACCATGGCTGGTTAAAATTAGCCTCATAGCTAGCGGTTCAAGTAATATTAGCCTCAGAGAAGTGCTACACATTTAACAAGTAGATTGAAATGTTCTAAAATCTATAGGCGACCGTACTCAATTTCAACGAATTTCCGGATTAGCGTGAGAAATACATTGAATAAGTACCTTTTCGGAGTGAACCAGGAAGGTTGTGGAGCTAGCGGAGATGGAGAACTTAAAACTAAGGCCATGGCTGATTACTCTAGTCTCCAGACCTGGATAAAGCTAAGCAATTGGTTCGACTACCCGCCGGACTAACTCATTCCCGCCATTTCACGACTTTGTTGGGTACTCCGTTTTGAGACTTCGAGAGCAAGACAGAGAAATTGCGTGCCGACAATCCTACTGACTTCATAAACTTTAGCTAGACGAGTTAATAAATGACTCTGAACATATAAAAATTTCATGTTTCAGTATTAAAAGACAAGATTAGTGTTTATCACTTTATCTTGCCATGTCATAAAAAAACATTATTTAAAATGAAATGGTATACCTGGGGATCGGCAAGAATGGCGTAAGTATAGTATAAATAAATTTTATACAGAAATGCTTGATACATAAATATATTTTTGGATAATTTTATTGAAATAAAATTTATTTATGAAAAATTATTAAAAGTTACTACACTATAATTTGTAAGAAAATGAACATAAGTTATGATTCATATTTTATGTATATATCATTATATTGTAAATGATGCGAAGTATTATGCAGTTTTAGAAATATGTGATTAACTTTTAAATTAAAGTATGTACTCTTCTTGAAACAACTTTCTGGTTTGACCTACACACATATTTAGGAAATAAACTTATCACTTTATGAAACAATTTTACTATTTTGACACTGTTTGACACTGTTTCTCACTGTTTTGATATAAATAATTTGCCGTTTAAGAAAATGAGAAGTTAAATTAGGGACATCCAAATAAGGAAAGTGAGAAGTTGTTTCAGGGACGGTGGGAATATTATTTATTAATAAAAGAGTCGAATATTTGGTGTAAATGACTTAGGCAAAATATAAAATGTTTTATCAAATATGTAAGTTATGTTATACAAATCAGATACTCTGTATAAATCATGTGTGTCAAATATTTGTAGTTAGTCATGTTATATCGAATATAAATGGTGTGTTAAATATGCGAGTGTCACTTATGAAACACGATAAATTTTGTTAAATTTTAAATATGAATCACACGAATTGAAAAAGTATAAGGTAGAGCGTGAAAAATAGTTACGAAACATATAGAACTTTGTTAATTTTAAATATGAATAAAAAATTATAAGGTGGAGTTTGAAGAAAAATTACAAATGGATTATATGTATCAGTTCTCTTTTCATTTCATGTTAAGTCATTCATGGTGATGAAAACAAACTTTTTTGAGCTATCGACAATTGTTTTGAATGAGACCGGGGAATTCAGCAATGAATATAGCATAGAATAAGAACATACATGGACGTATTTAATGAAGCAAACATACGTGTAGAATTTTTAAATAAAATTACCTACTAGCAGTCTAGCACATAACTAGATGCACATCCAATGACGACATATCGGGTGAAATGAAAGGTCCTACTCGATCTTTTATAATGGTTCCTTTTAAAAGATTAACTTAAATTGACGATTGAATATCTCATGTTGCCCATTATTTCTTCCAAATTGATATTTTGGACAACATAAGAAAAGCCTCTATGAAATGAGCCTTCCATTATCTTTGTAAATCCAAAATTTTCACCAAAAATTTTATCCTCCGAGATGTCTAGATGAAAATTTTCACAAAAAAAACAAATTATAGAAAATAACAACTTATGTTTAAAGACTTCTCGAAAGAGAAGATCATGGATTCAATATGAAGATTTAAACATTAATTATTCGATAAAGTTTGAAGTAGTTGTAAACTCAATATTATTCTCATATGGTTTCTTAAGAGTTTAAACTCCAGCGCTCCCTAAGATTAACCCGGAGGGGTATGTTCTTGAGATTACTCGATTAGAAATATCACATGTTGATACTTGATAGTGTAGGATTATATTCTAAACGTCGGCCAGCTCATTTAAAATCTACTCCCTCCGACCCTAAATAAAAGGCTTTGTTTCCTTTTTGGGTTGTCCCTATAGAAAAGGCTCATTTCTATTTTAGAAAATAAAGTTCAGACAAAAAAACCTTGCTACCCTCATTTAATTTCTACCCTTGCCTCTTCATTTACCTCTCCCACCCACCGGGTCTACTCCACCTTTTCGTATTTGCTACCCTTTTTTATTTCGCCCCACCTCTTCCCCTCTTCCCACTTTGGTATTCCACCTTCTCCATTTACTTCACCCCACTCGCACTACTCCACCTTTTCGTATTTGCTACCCTTTTTTATTTCGCCCCACCTCTTCCCCTCTTCCCACTTTGGTATTCCACCTTCTCCATTTACTTCACCCCACTCGCTCCATCTTTTCGTATTACTTCATTAACTTTTTTTGTTTCCTTTTTCTTATCTTTTCCTTTACTTCATCTTCTACTTTTGCCCAAATCTTTATCTTTATAAATTTCTCATTTATCCTGAGTATTGTTTTCCTCAAGCACAAGGCAGATTTTGGAGAGAGAGAGGGGGTCACTACATGACACACATTTTTGGCAGGAAACCATCGATCAATCCGTGTCAATCCTATTTTTTTTGTAGTGACGTGGGTGACAATCTCTCTTGGAACTTCAATTTTTTGTTTTATATACTCCGTATGAATATTTTCATAAAACTCACACCCTTTGGTTAGATATAAACGGACTGCTTATTTGATAATTTTCACCTAATATAATATAAAAAAAAAAACAAAAAAAGACAGTAGATGAGGCAAAATATACTATCGGTATACACATCAAAGTATATCAAGCATGTAATTTAGGGCTGGACTCGGGCCGGTTCGGGCCCGGTTCGGGCCTGGGCCCGGCCGGGCCTCGGGCCAGGAAAGGGGAGGCCCGAGCCCGAACCGCCGGTGGCCGGTTCCGGTTCCGGTTCCGGGCCAAACCGGGCCGGGCCGGGCCGAACCGGCCCAATTAATTTTTTTTTGTTCTCCTATTTAATCCCCTATCCCTCCCCCTCAACCCCAAACCATCCCAAACCACCTCAAATGGCCCAAAATACCTAATCCAACCTAAAACTTAAAAAAAATTCAAAAAATAAAATAAAATTAAAATCCGGCCCGGACCGGGCCCGAACCGGCCGGGCCGGTTCACCAAAACCTGGGCCCGAGCCCGGACCGCCCAGCACCCGGGCCGGGCCAAACCGAACCAGTGGACCCACCGGGCCACGGGCCGGGCCGGGCCAAACAGTGACCGGGCCGGTTCGGTCCCGGGTCGGGCCGCCCGGCCCGAGTCCAGCCCTAATGTAATTTGACACCCAAGTATATCTGTAACTTACTAATTGCTTGGTTTGCGTCAAAATGTCAAATTGCTCGTTTCATCGCCCTCCTCTCAATCTTGTACTATCTATTCGAATGTAAACAACACTAGTTTTGCACCCAAAGAATGTTCTTTAGAGTTTAGATAATTGGATGTATCAAGCACACTATATATCTGGATGTGTAGTGTGCACACTATATATTTGATTGATAGTCACCTTTATTTTCCATTTTTGCTTTTAGCAAAGATATGTTGCATTAATAACCATATTAATCAACATTACTTTATAGAATTCTTTATCATTCAATGGGTACGTTAGATGTGATAAGTTGTTTCTCAAACTCTTATTATCGCAGACTAATCATTTATGTGAAAGGTTGTGAACTCACAAGGTGTTACCGCGTTAGGTACAGCTCTCATTCATTCATAGAAAAAGTTGTACGTAGTATTATGTACAGTATAGCTACACAAAGTTGTATTTTAAAAAGAAAAATAAAAAAGAATGATGTGTGTTTGGGCTAAGCATCTCTAAGTTGAAAACTTAGCATCCCGAAATGTCACTCTCTAATCTCTAATCTCTACCTACAGCTGTCTGTGGGAGACTATACATCTGCATTGCTTATATTGATGATGTTTTCTGAGTTGACAGAAATCACTCTTGATTGGTTTCTTCTTCTTCTTCTTCTTCTTCTTCTTCTTCTTCTTCTTCAAGATGACCTTCTAAATGGTTTTCAGGGTCACGAGTCAACTGTTCAGAACTTGAGAAGGCAAAGCTTTTAACCGTCTGCTCTTCTGTTCTCCATACTTCGCCTTTAGATTCAGTTGGTTCTCTGGCCATTAATAGCTCCCCTACTCGTACCTAATAAAGAGATTTTATATAGTGTCACACATTTAGTAATAGCATCTTAACAATTGCAATCCACTTGTCAGCAATTTTACATGATATATATAATGTGTCCATTTAATAATTTACTCTGTATCAATACCTGCAATGGCTTCATAATTTGATTTTGATCATCAATTTTACCAAGTCCTTCTTGGGCTTGCAACTCCATAGAATCTCGGACCAGTTGGCTCAGGAAAGTCACATCGTCAGACATTACACCAAACCCTTTCAACAATTTGGAGCCAAGCTGTAAACTCGACTGCACCGGAATGAATTATCAAAGCAATGCTCATTTGTTCACAAGATACAAATGGCAAAAGGAAGGACTAGGTTAGTCTTACCTCTGTGCTTTCAAGGATAGCATCTGTTGCACCTGCTTTCTTCAGATTTAATAAATGCTTCACGTCCTGAGCTCGTGCATATATTGGAATCTATGAAATGAATTACAATGAGTTTCTGGTGCATACTATGTATGCATGAATCATAAGGAAGACTGCTACACTTGCTATGCATATGACTCTCTCAAATGGTTCCCAACTTGTTGAAAAAGTCAGGATCATCATTATGTATCATATTGGCCAATAAGATAGCCAAATTCACTCATAGCTACCTCTCAAACTGCTGAGGTTTGTTCTCTCTATAGTGTATTGGTGTGTCTGTTATGACTTATGATGGACAATAAGTAACTTTCCAACCAATTATTTTCTATCATAACAATCAGACTTGAGCTTGAGTGAAATGTGGTCAACATTAGCTTAAAATTTCTAGCTTCTAGGGAAAGTAAGCAGGCATGCAATTTGAGGTGAAATTTGGAAGACAAGAAATTGAAGATAATTGTTTTTAAAAAATGCCTAACATTTTATGTGTTTCAAACATATTTTTACTTTCCACGGAAAGTGAATCACAAAAAAGTTAAATATTGATACCCTTGTTAAAGTGAATTAAACACTTTGACCACTTTCGATTGAAAGTACCATTACAGCCTCAAGTAAGCATTTTTCCTTCTTACTGTCCATGCTGACCCTAAACTCATTGGTAACAAGACATTAGTTTTTTTTCTTCCAAAGATTGCATGCAGGGGAGTGAACACTGATTTTGGGGAAGGGAAAAAAGGGGGTAAGAAGATGTAATACCGCGGGGAAAGCAAGCCGGATCCTTTCAACAGCCTCAATGGTCTTTTCTTTCTCAGCATACATGACCATTACAGCTTTAGGAGATGATATACCAGCAGATCTGAGAACTGATGGACGGGAGCCATCACCATAAAGAACAGGAAACCCAAGATTTCTTGAAGCCTGTTCAAGTGGTACATAAAGCTTTTTAATACAACTGCCATGCATACCCTTTTCCAGAATGATGAAAGAAAAAAAGTCTAAAATATATCAGGAGTAGCTAATCTCCCACTACTATTGGCTACCTTCACCACAGAAGGGTCTAGATCAAAAACAACATAAGGGCACCCCACACCGTCTCTGTCTAAACCTGAAGCTAGGGGAGCAGATAACAAGTTGGCAAGGACCTGTTTGAAAACAGCTGAAAGCATTCAGAAGTAACTCATTAAGACCCATGAAGGCTTGTCACAACAATGAAGAAGATTACTTAAGTACCTGACCCATTTGCCCAAATCCAACAATAACAACCGGTTCACTACCATTGAAGTCAACTTCTTGACCTGGTTTCTGATATAGCCATGACAATCAATATTGAAAAATCTAGCAACAATCTTAAGCGAATTCAAGCTTCAAGTAACAAATAACAACCATATTAAGTTAAAATGTTGCATCAAGATAGGAGTTTATAATGTGAATGCTCCAACTTGAGATGCAGTTTTGAAGTATAGAATGTATAAACACTATGGATGTGTTTGTTCAACAGAGGAGAGTGGAGGGGAGAGATAAGCACTGTAGTAGTAGTCTTTTAAGAATTGTCAAGCTGAAGGTTCATATAAAGAAAAGTCTTGTTATTCAACACTTACCAATTATCAGTCTCTTCAATCTGATTCAAAGCCCAGATGTCATTAACCAATGTGTAAGTAATAATTTAACACACACACACACCGTAGCAGAAACATTAGTCAGAACAAGTATTTATGAAGTCTTGAAAGCTTGATGACTCAATATTTCCTGTAGGCTCAAAGTAATTATGCAAACAGATACTCCCCCCTGTCCCCTTTTAAATGTCCCGTTTTACCATATTGGGATGTCCCTATTTAATTGTCTCATACCTTTTTTGGTAAAGTTTGTGTGGCTCAAAATCATTCTTACTTTATTCTTACTTTATCAATTAATATCAACCACACAAACCCACTTTTCATAAAACTCGTGCCACCCTCTTCCGTCCCAATAGAAAGGAGACGGAGGTAGTATTTCATACTATCGTATTAAATACTCAAATTCCATATCTAGTAAATATTGGGCATTTCCATCTCAAAATAGGCAGGAAAGATTTAAGAAGAAAAAAGTTTCTGGAAAATAAAATACAAAACATGTACCTTAGCAACATCTTTATTCAGAATATTTTTAGTACTACTTCTGTCCCTAAATACCTTTCCGACTTTCCTACTTCATCCACCACTTAGTAAAATATTTTTCCTTATTTGGTAAAAAAAAAGTAGCTTTACTGCCCTATTTGAATATTTTTAGACCACCATTAATAACTCCCAACACCATGTCAAGTCAAAGTATGAATCTTATCAACTTATCAAGGGATGGAGGAAGACCTATCTGAACATAAAGAGTTACATGAGATTATGATAATACACAAGAAACAGTATGTCTTCTCACTATACTGTTTGACAAAAATTAGCTTACGAAGAAGGGACTTACATCATCATCATCATCAAAGGTCTCATCAATAAGATTAGCCGCATTTCTTCCAATTTCGTTGAGCAAAGGGGTCAAAGCCATGGACAGCACAACAACAATTATGAGAAGTTTGTTCAGCTCAAGCGGCAGCACACCAAGCCTTCAAGTTGAGAAGAAAGAAATCAAGCATCAATTACAAGCTAAAAATGTCAAACAAATATTAAAAACACTAGTGATAGAATATAGAGAAGCATGAAGAAACCTGTTTGCTAATGAAAACACCACAAATCCAAATTCGCCTCCCTGAGAGAGAAGAAACCCAATCCTTATGCTCTCTTGTAGGGTAAGTCCAACTCGGGGACCGATTGCTGTTATAATAAGTGTCTTGATAACAATTAGACCTGCCAAGAGTGAAAGAACATTTGGCCATTCTCGGAAAAGAAGCTGCAAAGGATAAACACTCTTTCTGAGAAGGCACAAACTTTTGTAGCTCAGTACTTCATAACACGCCTATCAAGTGCTCTTACTCAATTATGACTTCTTTCTTCTTTTATTTTCATGCAAGTAAATATTCAGGTTGAATCTGGTCAAGGAAACTTACAGCTACAATGATAATGTAACAAAGTTACACACAGAGAAATAAAAAATGGCAAAAACTTTTCAAGGGGAGAAATAGCATATTTTAGAAGGTGTATACACCTGCATATCAATAGAAGTCCCTGTGGTCACAAAAAATAGCCCAAGAAGTAATCCTTTAAATGGCCTTATATCCGCTTCAATCTGAGTACGGAAGTTTGTTTCTGCTAATAAAGCCCCGGCCAGGAATGCTCCAAGCTGATAAAGGAACAAATATTCATTACACTCATTTTATGGGGAAAAAATGGCATCCACTTGTTTGAAGAACAGTATTTCTGACCGTATCACTGAAGCCCAATTGTTGAGTTAAAAGCGATGTTCCCGCAACTGTTAAAAGGCAAAGGGCAACAAATGCTTCTGAGCTTCTTGCTTCTGCAACAATCTAAAACACAATTGGCAGCATATTTTTCATCACAGCACAAAGAAACATTTATTGCTTTGTTTCATCGAAAAGTAGGAAATATATTCTAAAACATTCTTTAGCACCTCAAAAACTCGCCTCAAGATGTATTTTCCACTCAGAGAAAGTAAACCAAGTCCTCCTAAAGCCTTCAAGCTTTCTTTAGCGAGCATTGGCCAAATGCTTTCTTCAACCAAATTCTGCAACCAGAATTTTAAGAACAACTAAAAACAGTGAAACCAAAATGCTAAAATAAAATAATAGCATGACTCACACACAATTGGTACAATAAATAAAATGAAGTTTTATTTAGAAAATTTCTCAGAATAGGAGAGAAAACAAGGTGGTTTCCAAAAATAGGAGTACAATGTTTTTCTCTAAATAGGGGTAAAGTACTGTCATTTTGAAATCATACTACAATATCATGACATTATTAGTTATTGGAGTATTAATTCCCGGTATGTTTAACATGGCAGTACCTATTCCTATTCAAGGGGGGAAATATAGTGCTTCTATTGAGGGAAATTTCTTTTTATTTATCATGACAGAAAATATCAAAGTCTAGCAGCATAGCTAACAAACATAAAGCTTCAATACATGCATTATAGCACCAACAATGATAGAAACTACTCCATCCTGTCCTTATTATCTGCTCAAGTTTTAAGAACTGGACCGGACCGGGTGGTTCGACCCAGAAACCGGTGACCCGGCCAGTTATCCGGTCCAGTTGACTATCAAACCGCTAATATTGCTAAAACCGGAAATAACTGGCAACCCGTGTGGACCCGGAACGGACCCGGCTCGGCCAAAACCCGCGTACTAGGAAAACACCAGAAAGAACATTGCACAAGGGGATTGAACTCGCGCCTACTGCTTCACAGTTCACACAAAGCCTCACGACAGACCGCTACACTACATCAGAATGTTGTTACCTTAGTACACTTAGGTATCCTTATACCTTGTTTACCCTGTAACTGTTTTTTAAGCATTACTAGTAATTAATTAGTTAATTAATTAATTTGTAACATAATAATAATACATACAGACGAACGCTATTATTATACATCCCAATCATATATACCATCTTCCAAATATATTTGTTTAGTATTTTTAAATTATTGGTGTTATGTTCATATTTATTAGGGAAAACTGTCAATTTGGTCCTTGTACTATCATTCTATCACGAAAACGTCAATTAAATCCTCGTACTTTAAAAAAAACAATCAAATCCCAAAACTTTGTAAAAATGTTCAACATAGCTTATTATAAAGCATCTTTTAGAAGGATCCAATGATCCTTTGAAAGGCATTGTTTTTTCCTACAAAGTATATTTTAATAATTTCCTTGTTTGCCCCAAATATAATATATATATATATATTGTCTTCTAAAACTAAAATATAACAAATATCTTTGGTTTGTGTAAGTTGATCAATTGTGCTTATAGAGCATTTAAAGATTACCTGACTCTCGAGAACTGGAAGTACCACCAGCAGAGGTACAACAGCTATATCCTGACAATTTCAAGCAGTAGGGAGCAGAAAAGACTAATTTAACATTTAAAATGGTACTTAAGGAGTTAAGTACTGCAGTAATTTTGGGAGGTCTTGTTGGGCATAAATCGCAAATGTCACCTGAAGTAGAAGTATCCCTAAAGTAGCAGATCCGAATCTGGTTGGAAGCTCACCTCTCTCTGCAAGAATCTATAAGATGCTCAAGTAAACACACAATCACACATATTGTCCAACAAGTAGATCCATTCTCGGGCTTATCCCATATAGGTTCTACAATATTCAATGATAAAGAATGGGTACATTTTCCTATACATTGTGTACATCCTCTACACACAAATACACAATATCGGCTGTCTTATTCAAGTCATTAATGGTCTGATACCTGCAGAACAAAAGCTGATGAAGACAATGATAGAGCAGCACCAATTACAACCGCCTCATCAATACTTCTGATGTTGACCTACAGTGCGGAGAGAACAAATATTTTTAAGAGTGTGTATTTTTCATACATCATAGCCTTGATCATTTTTTCGGGGGCATCTTGAAGAAGCGTGTAAAAATAATCCACAGTAGCTCTTAAATTCTTGTTAGGCCCATTTTACATATCACCAGTAGATTAGAAGTAGATAAAGTACTTTTTTTAGAAGTAGATAAATTACTTATGTGTCAATTTCACATAGGTTTCACACTTACACGAAGCCACCCTTCATTTAAAAAATTATCTGTAAGTTGAAGAGGAAGTTTCTAGAAGCACCTAGATGCATTTCAACAAAATAGAAGTTATTTCAGAGACTCGCTTCCGGTAACTACTAAAGTTAGAACAATTCAAGTTAGTAATCAGTTTTTACCGAGTTCAACTGTCCAGATTGGCATTAGTTAAGAAACAACAAACACCAGGAGTCCACTCCATCTACCACACTACCAATTTTTTCATACATAAGCAGAGAAGAGAGAGATGGAAAGTGCCAATATTTTATCCATTTAAATAATGAACCAATACATGCTTAAAGTAATGTTTCTGATGAAAACCAGGGATACTAATATATGCTCAGAAGAAGGAACCAATTGAGAGAAGAAACAAAAGAAAAAATGTTTAGAGAAGCTACTAACCAGATCAGGTCTTGAGTGAAAGAGAAATTCCATAATCCTCGTCCCAATTGCAGCATTAGGTGGAAGTTCAAATGCAGAGAAAGCAAGAGTCGACAATATAACCTTTAGTTGAATAAAATTCGATGCAATTAGGGCGTGCATGAATTGGGCAGTACTCTCAAAATTGGAATCTTATAACAGTACTAGTACAGTTAGAAGTGAAGGTGCTGGTGTAACGTTTAAGTTGCTTATAAGCTTCATGACCTGTATTTCTTATTATTATGCCCTTTTTAGATCATTTGAAAGAAGTTCCTATGCCGCTTCATGAAGTTTATTTTAAAGAGCAAAGTGTATTTTACAGTTAAAAGACTCCAAACCTTCCTGTTTACGTTGTCACTATAACATGGTCCAAAATCAATGAAAGTTTTTCTTAAGCGAGTTTCTTAGTACTTGCAGACTTGATCCATTTCTTCTTGGGTTCGTAACATAGCATTCTACTCTAGATTATACGTGAACACTTACAACTAGAGTGATGCTATCCTGATTCAGAATGTTAGAAACCATAGTTGGCTGGTCTTCTAAACATCACATTCACCTTACACTTGGCGATATTTTTGTACAAAAAAACATGGAATGTATAGCCAGAAACTAAAGATGATAATCCATTGCTTCAGCTTTCCAAGACTAGCAGATATATTCCTTCTCATGTGTTCTAAAGCCTACTCGATTACAATAATATTGAGCTTCTGTTAAGTAGGAGGATGGATACCTGAGTCAATCCCATCCCAAATGCAAACTTCGCCAAAGCTTTCAAGCGTGCAAGTGAAAGCTCCAAACCCATCTCAAACAGCTGCAAATTAAGTTATTCAATATATAACTGAATATGCAATATATATACCACCTATGTCCTTGAGGAACGAAAAGATCCCTAAGTCCCAAAAAAGGGCTAAAATTTCATCAAGGTACAACTTTTAAATTTTGTTAAGGTAAAGTCTTGTAAATTATCAATTTTACTTATGTTTTTCAATTTATTTTTAAACTAAAATTAGCGCACCTAACTTTTTTGGCATATCAAATTCACAATAAAACTAACTTCTTTCATTGAAGGTTGGACTCTCATTTATCTTTATTTACATTTGTAAAAAAATGTATGCATTGTTTTGTCTTTATCATAATATTTCTTTATCTTTTCAAATAACTCAATGTTACCTAACTGCATCCCGTACAACGCACGTGAGAAAAATCTAACGGAAGCTAAAGGAAGGTACTAGCGCTTAAAGAGACCTCCTATGCTATAAGTCTATAGCATAACCATGCACAGATTCGTATTTCATTGCCATGTGAGGCAAAAAAATAGCAGTGAAAAGAGAACAATCAAACGTACCAAAAAGAGAATCCCCCATTCAGATAGCACTTTAACATCTGTGATATTCCTGATAAGGCCGAACTGATTGAGCACAACTCCGGCAAAGAAGAAGCCAAGTATCTGAAACGCTTAGATGAATTGAGAGTCTTTCATATCATAGTGGTCAGTCGTTTTTTTAAGAAGAAGACAATTCCAAATATGAAACCACTCACAGGACTGGCTTTGATAATCTTGAATGCAGGAACAACCAATACAGTCACCGCTAAAAATGTCAAAGTGTCCATCCCTAAGTCATTGATGACATCAACAGCACTTGCAACATCAAGTGATGCAGACATTTGGATAATGTACCTTTGTGGTAGCACATGCTTGAAGAAGTAAAATCTTTTTACATTGAATATAGGAATACTTTTGTGTACATCACTTGTTATGTAAGAACTGCAAGTCTTGTGATGCATAGACAGTGGTGATAAATGTTGAACTCCATTGTAACAAAACAATGTTTTTGAATAAAGCCGAAAAAGATGTGGTGCATGACATCTAGCAGGATGTGTGTTTGTCTGTGTAACAACATATCCCTGCAACAGGAAAAAAACAATTATATCCAAAAATAGTTTGTTTGGGAAATGTATTTTATAGGATTATATAGAAATGTTTACACTTAAGACAGTGAGCGGTCCATTAATCATATTTCAACCACACACATAAAACTTTAATTTGGGAATATATTGGTCCATTGTAAAAGCACTATGCATACTAAAATATAAAACAAAAACGGATCATTGTCTTGACCCTTGAGGCCTTGACAATAAGACATGCACTCTGTAATTCAAGCCTCCACAGTCCTCAATATTGAATACTTTTCCACACTTCCTGGGTATATACCAGAAGGATCTGTTTGGATGAAGGGTTTTGGAGGAGGAAGGCTTTGGATGGCCCAGTCTATATCTTGGGACACAATTGAGATTTCAAAAAAGGAAATGAATAACATGATATGAGATAGTATGTTCTGGTCATCTTCAAGAAATCTATACTCCCCACTTGGCTTTTATGGACTTTATTTCTCCATTTACTTGATCCATTTCTATTTTGGCAACTTTTCTTACTTATTCATCTCTATAAAGGCATAAATACCCTTCCTTTTTCATCTTTTTCCTCAATTGCTTTTGAAAAGTCTACTTGAGCAATTGAAAGTGATCAGAGGGAGTATTAATCGAGATATATACTAATCCCTCCAAAACCATCTATCCATACAGACCCCCGGGCTTTCCCAACATTAATAAGTTAACTCATGTCGAGCTCAATAGAAACCAGAGGTGCAATAAGGGTGTGCAATACAACCAATATGGTGAGTTGGACGTAGTATGAAATAAAACTATTTATGGGCACAACTATAACTTTAGTTTTTATATTGACCTGATTGTCGGATGCCATATATGTTTTCTTAAGTTCACTTCTTCCCGTTTCACTTCTATCTTAGTACAGATTGGCTTAATAAACAGAAAATTGAAAGGTTTGCAAAATCCAGAGCTTTAATCAATGCTCGCTGGAATTATACCTTAGGAATATGAGAGTAAGCAACCAAATCCAGCATAGTTTGCCTATAAAAAGCTTGACAAGTTCACTGAATCACAACTGGAGCATCCAAAAATGATGAAGCACATTTACTAGAGCTAAGAACATGCTACTGATTGGATTTCTGAGGTTTTATTTGCTTGTTCGCTGTGTGTTTTAAAGAGGGTTACAAACAGCCACAAAATGTATATAATCGAGCTAAGAATACGAGGCGGAATTCGAAGAAGAGCAAGAACTTTGGGTGATCGCAGCTAATTTAGCAGATACTCGTATAGGATACAGATAGGGAGATGAAATGGGACATCCTCCTCATGTTTATGTCAGGTTTAATCCCCTTTTTATCTTTTTTATACTACTAGTAGAAACTAGAAAAGATAGGGGCTAAAGGGTCAAATAGGCAAACTGACTTAAAGTGTTCAATCAGTCCCTTATATAGGGGTTCTGCTCGGCCGTTGCCAATTGAGGCGGTTTCCGGTGGAATTTTTTGGTGAAATTTTTTGAGCATATTCTTCATTAAGTCTAGTTTATTCATACCAAATTTCAGCTAATAATTCAACCGAGAAGGCAGTCAAATGATTTTTTGAAGATAACTGTGAAGTTAAACAGCGCAGTACATTTTGGAAAATCATTTGACTACCTTCCCGGTTGAATTTTTAGCTGAAATTTGGTATGGGAAAACTAGACTTAATGCAGAAGATGCTCAAAAAATTTCATCAAAAATTTCCACCGGAAACCGCCCCAATTAGCGACGGCGGGACAGAACCTCCTACATAAGGGCTAATTGAACTTTTTAAGTCAGTTCAAGGGCCTATTTGACCCCTTTAGCCAATGATGTCAACAACAAAAATGAAAAACGGCTATACATTTTCTACATACAACAAATTGTCTTAAGAAGTAAAAAATAATACTCGGTACGTACTTATATGATTCTGAAATATATGTGGATGTTTTGGCAAAAATAGAATTGGTTGAAACAATTAAAATTGATAAAATTAATTAGTTAAATTTGTAAAAATCGTGAGAAGTTTAAATTTAAAATATATTTTACAAATGAAAAAAATATACTACATACAAAAATGATTAAAATGATCTTTTACAGTAATTTATACAAATGCAGGCACAAAAATTCCTCCAATCTTACTTGTTTTGATTTTACAAAATTCAGTTAATGAAATCAAAAGTTACGTGTTTAGTGAAAAAGGTTAATTGATATAAGATTGATAAGCCTGATCAAGGGTCACCAAACGGATTTTCTCCTAAATGAGAGTAATGATTGTTGGATCGATTCACCCCTGTCGACAAACTTTCCAGTGGGTCACCCATCCTTGGGCTTTCGTACCCCGGACTCGCTTAACTCCAGAGTTCTGTGGTTAAATTAAATAACAGCCATATCTTTCTTAAAACCAATTGGTGATAAGGAAGTGAACACCCTCTATTTAACTCATTACTCTGTAGTCCCCAAGTCAAGGTAGATTCTTGTGGGGCAGTGCAGAGCCCCACTACTGAGCGGTGGATGGACATGAGGGGCTGCACCACATCGTGGTGCCAACAGGTTGGGCGTTTAAGCCCTGAATCAAAGGGGTGGTGCTGATCTCCCATAAGACCAACAATGGCTGAAAAAATAATGGTAATTACAATATCAATACATTCATATTAAGGCTTGGTAGTGTCAAAATATGTCATACAACCTTCAAGCTAGTAGTAAGTTACTCCTATTTAGAAAGAAATATTCCAGCTAGTAGTAGCAATTTCTATTTAGAATTTTACATTATTTTTATCTGTTTTGAAAAATCTCTTACAAATAATGAGAAACATAAAGCCAAAACAAAAACATAACAAAAACATGAATTTTGATATGCCATTATCATCTGCTTAAATTGATTATATGAATTTCGATTATAGGGATCCCCCTAAAGTTCAAATTTATCACAATTTATTTTCGTAAAAACAAGAATAACATAGTATCATTTCTCATTTAGTAACAATATAGAGAAACATTTTTTTGAATATCCTTGATTGGGATGGAACTCGAACTTGCGATCTCCACTTTGGAATATCAACAGTGACGCTATTAGATCACAAGATACTTGACAACAGTATAGAGAAAGTTAAACTTTTTTTAGAAAAATTAATACGTAATAACGTATTTAAATAAATAAAAAATGTATGCTCTTCCAAAAAAAATTGTATGGTCTTCCAAAAAAAATGTATGCTTAAAATTACAGGGAAAAGATAGCAAAAAAGTGATCCGTATGTATTCATCGACTCTTTTTTTACCTTGCTTCGCTTCATTACCATATCGTCCTCCTCATCCATTGATATTATGCTATACTACCCTGTGAAGATGAAAAATGTTTAGTGTACACAAGCAATTCGTTTAAAAAGAGGCAGTATTTGATGTCAAATTGTCTGTGTACACAGACAATGTATGTACACATTTTGTGTACAAGTACACCAAGAATGGTCCCCGTGAAGATAGAAGAAAACTCATACTCCATAGAGAACAATATCTCGCTCATTTTCATCAATGAGATTTGAACCTAGAGAAAATTCCCCAAATGGGATTAAAACGGTGATAAAGTTCATAATTAGTATTTTTTTCGTCTGTTAAAACTTTGTCAATTTTTTTTGTCCCATTAAACTTTGTCGCTTCTCCTTTTAAATGAAAAGTTGCATGTGATTTCAGTTATTTCTCTCTTCTCTGCACAAACTTCATTCATGTTGTTTTTATTTTATTATTATTAATCCTCGTGTCGATCAAATTTAATAAAGTTTTGAAGAGTGATAAAGAGTACCTGGTAAAAAGCTTCTTGTTCCATGTACGGGCGAAGTACTAGTTCGTTCGTACGTAAAAGCAAACCTCACGCTGTGATTTTCTTTTACTAACTCCCAAAATTTACAGAGTCTGAATTTACGTACAATAGTTCATTGTAAATTCATCTCATAAGTACTCATAAACTTTACTACCCAATAATTTTATCATCTGCATTTTATCCGATCCATTCGTTTTTTTCATTCAAAAAAGCTAAGATATACGATAATATTATTAGAGAGAATAATGGCTTGCCCTCTTGGGGAGCCCTGAGTCTATATTTATAATAATCAATGTTTTGGAAATTACATAATAAACCCACACTAATACATTATTACACCCTCTCAATCTGTGCAGGGGAAACAACCCGAGCTAGGCTGAATTTCCCATATGTGATCCCCTCGGGTGAGAGCTAGGTTGGCCATGCACAAACGGAGTCTGTCCTCCAGAAACATGAGCAAACCCATGATTTCCTCCATAACCTGCTGAAGACTGCCCGTAGTTACCATGGGGAAAAGGGGACTGGTGGTACTGCCCACCACGTCCACGACCCCTGCTGCCACGAGGGCGGTGACCACCTCAATTACCACGCCCTCCATGGGGTGCCGAACTGCTGCCTGAGTATCCGCCACGAGAGGAGCTACTTCCCCGAGCACCCCCTCGGCCAGACTGGCCACTGGAGCCAGAAGAGGTGACTACAAAAGCCTGGTGTGGTGGTGCGGACTCCTGAGACCGAAAATACAAAATACGTTGTTCTTGTGCCAAAAGAATCGGGCGAAGTGGGTCCAAAGTGGCATTACCCGGAAAATATGAAATGGCAGTAACTAATGACTCATATTCAAATCTCAGTCCAGATATAGCATATTCAATCATCTCACGATTAGTAATGGGGGAATTAATGGCAGCCAAAGCATCGACCGACGACCATGACCTTAATTTCCCTTAAGTATTGATCCATAGACTGAGACTCTTTCTTTTTAATGTGTGACAATAAACGCTTGAGTTCCATGGATCGGGGTAGACTAGCAGACATAAAACGTGTCTGAAGTCGATCCCAAATTAAATAGGAAAATCTAAGATCATATACCTCCATCAAAATATCCCTGGAGAGAGTAGCAAAAAGCCACGATCTCACAGTCTGATCAATTTTGAGCCAATGGTGATATTCAGGATCATTTGGGGCAGGCACAGTAATAGAACCATCCAAATACCAAGTAGACTATGGGATACCAAAAATGATTCAAATTGGGTCCTCCATGGCAGGTAATCCTCAACAGCATCAAGCCGAGTAGTGACAATATTTGTCACATTCGGAGTAGAAAAAGTTAATTGTGATGCTAATGAGGATAAAGATGTGGAAGAAGCTATAAAACCTGGAAGCCGAGAAGTATATGGGGACTGCATGGGATAGACTCCAGGGTGTCCAGAAAGTGTGGGACCAGAGAACTGAGGCATGGCAGCACCTATCGAGGGCATGAAAGCAGGTGCAGAGAGTGCTGGTCCGCTTGAGGAAGAAGCCTCATGATCGTGAGAGGCAGACGGTATCCACGAGAATGGCTCAGGCATCCCAAACATACTGTAATTCTCGAATGGAAGCGGTGGAGTAAAGTACTTGGAGCGTTGACGAAGCCCTGGATCGACAATTGCAGGCTGCCCGGCAGGGATGGATGTTGGCGCCATAGTTGTTGCATTGATGGTGCTCGACAGAGAGCCATAAAACGGAGCAGATAAACCGGGAACAGAGAGCGGTGTAGTAGAGGACTGCATCGTGTTAACAGGCGCCACAGAGGCTGCGACTGAGGTGGAGTTGGAGGCTGTGGCTGCGGTTGTATCGGAGGCGCCGTCCATCGGTAAAGAGAATAGGAACCCTAGGCAACTGATATCATATACGATAATATTATTAGAGAGAATAATGGCTTGCCCTCTTGGGGAGCCCTGAGTCTATATTTATAATAATCAATGTTTTGGAAATTACATAATAAACCCACACTAATACATTATTATAAGAAACAAATTTTAGTTCATTAAAACAATTTTTGTTTTTCATAACTTTCCAATCCGTTATTCAAACTAATGATTTACTATAATTCATTGTTTAAACCAATGGGATTTCATGCATGCCTTTTCAGTTTTTCTCTATGTTGTTGATATCGTTTTATACAAAACTGATCAATTTGTCAACTTTTTTCAGCAATTAACTTTTAGAGGAATTTAATTCATAATTAGTTTTTTTTAATAAATCTGACAAACGATCAAAAGAATAAATAAATAAATATTGTAACCAATTTATTTTAATGATATTTTAGAGTACTCCTAAAAGTTACTATTAATTTAACAATTCTTCGGTAAAATACTAAAATCTACATACGTACTGATTGTCATATGTCGTCAGTCAAATTTTCATAGCAATTACGGAGTATTTTATTAAAAATAATCATGCGTACATTTTTACATGACAAGTATAGTACTATATATAGTCATGCATACATCAATAAATACACACAGGCTATTA